CCCCAATACTGTGTATCCCCCCATTCCAGCCCCCTCCATATCACACAACACAGATCACCCCCACAGCCTCCTCTTACCTCTCCTATACTCACAGCTTCACTACTCCGGGTGTACCAACATGGCCGCCGCATTGCTTCCTGTCAACCATTATATGCGTTTCCTGGGACTACAACAATGGCGGACTTCCGATGTTCTATCAGCCGAACAGTTAGATCACTTGTCGTCACTTCCGATAAAACTTCCATAGGGCTAATCTACCCATCTACACGGGCTGGGTGTAGCAATATGGTCATCTTGCACAGGAAGACGCTGCCAGTATGGGTGTAGTAAGATGGCCGTCTTTTTTTTTATATACCGTACATCTTGAACAGGAAGAAGCAATCGTATTGGGTGTAGTAAGATGGCCGCCTCCTTCAGTGACACATGATTGTGAGTGTGTTCAGGGCTGGTGAGTTATAGCTTTATTATTGTTATCACATTCGGTTTAGAATTTATTTATATATTAATTATTTCTGCAAACTGCCCCAAAAAGAAGTGCCTGGGGAGGGTGAACACTATGCTGTGACACTACAAGTCTCAGCGTGTCCTGTCAGTTGTAATGCTCTGATTGTATTGTTCTAATTACCAAGAATCATTCAGGGAGGGACTAGAAGACCCAGCATGGCCTGTCAGCATCATGATGGAGAGGGGGAGCTATGTGCTTAGGGTTCCATCATCATCCTCCTCACTCAGCCAGGTGCCTGTGGAGGGTAGAGCATGGAGTAGTAGGAGTATGGCGGTGGTGGAGGAGGAGTGTGGTGGTGGACCAGTTATTTTGTGATGAGCCTGCAGCCAGAGAAGGGAAGGACTCCTACCTCCATCCTTGTCCCTCACCATGTAGTGCTTGCAGATGAGCATGACACTCCATGATCATGTGACACCCACAGGGAATCATGTCTAGGTTGTATGTACAGAGACGTGTAACCCTCCCCCCACGATATATTCAACTAATTTAATCTTCTACGTTCTCCTCCTGCTGTTCCATAGCCGGATTTATTGCTCATGTCTTCTTGCTCCCGGAATCGTCTTCCAGCTGTGGCATCACCTAGACCAGGGATGAGCAAATCCAACTGTGATGGAACTACAAGCCCCATGTGGCATTGCAAGACTCTGACAGCCACATATCTCCCAGAGGCAGAGGGATGGTGGGATTAGTAGTTTCACCACAGCTGGAGTGCTGAGGCTGCCTATTCCTGACTTGAACCTTTGCCCCGGATGTGTCCTAGGTGTGGCGGGATTCCTGCGCCGGGGAATCTGTGACAGCTGCTGGCAGCTTTTCAGGAACGTTCAGGGTTGGAACAGGTCAGCACAGCGGGGGGAGGGGGGGGAGGAAATGATCAATGATAATGTAACACCATCATAGGAAGAACAACCAACCCTCAGAGATGAACAATACAGCAAAGCCATCCTCAGCACTGATCACGTGCAGGAACCCTTCAAAGATCCTTCATTTAGGGAACCCCCAGCCAATAATTACTATATGTACAGTATATGGTGCATTCCTGTGAGTGGTCAGTTGAGAGGTGCAGTGGGGATATGATGGGAGGTCTTGGAATGCAGTGAGAGGTAAATTGAGGGGATATGGTGGGGGGGTGCAGTAGGGGATACGGCAGGGTGTGGTGGGAGGTACAGTGGCAGGTATGGTGGGAGGTGCAGTGAAGGTAAGGTGCGGGGTGCAGTGGAGGTACAGTGGGAGGTGCAGGGAAGGTATGTTGGGGGGTATGGTGGGAGGTGCAGTGAAGGTAAGGTGCGGGGTGCAGTGGAGGTACAGTGGGAGGTGCAGGGAAGGTATGTTGGGGGGTATGGTGGGAGGTGCAGTGAAGGTAAGGTGCGGGGTGCAGTGGAGGTACAGTGGGAGGTGCAGGGAAGGTATGTTGGGGGGTATGGTGGGAGGTGCAGTGAAGGTAAGGTGCGGGGTGCAGTGGAGGTACAGTGGGAGGTGCAGGGAAGGTATGTTGGGGGGTATGGTGGGAGGTGCAGTGAAGGTAAGGTGCGGGGTGCAGTGGAGGTACAGTGGGAGGTGCAGGGAAGGTATGTTGGGGGGTATGGTGGGAGGTGCAGTGAAGGTAAGGTGCGGGGTGCAGTGGAGGTACAGTGGGAGGTGCAGGGAAGGTATGTTGGGGGGTATGGTGGGAGGTGCAGTGAAGGTAAGGTGCGGGGTGCAGTGGAGGTACAGTGGGAGGTGCAGTGAAGGTATGGTGGGAAGTACGGTGAGAGGTGCAGTGGACGTACGGTGGGAGGTGCAGTGCATGCTGAGATTTCTGCAGTCGGGCCGGATCCTGACAATACAGTCTGGATCCACCCAGCTGTGTGAGTGATGGATGGCTCCGCCTATCTAGAGGCAGTGCCAGCTGTGCCCTCCCCCTCCCCCGTCCATTCCTCTACTCACCACTGGAGGATCTGAGAGGCGATCAGTCACCACTCTCTGCAGGGAGATGATCAGGAAGTCAGCGATCGGCGGTATGTTTCCGCTCACTTCATTATCAATAGAGGCGACGTGTGACAGATTCCTTGTCACGGGTCGGCTTGAATTATGGGGATGATTTATACCCATAAAATCAGTTTTTTGTCTCCTCAGACTCCTCGGTGTGGGTGAAGTGAATGCTGGGTAGCCGGTGGATGAGACGTCTCCTGCTTTCCTCTTCATCTCAGAGTTGGTCATCGGTGCGACATTTGATGGATCTCCATTCGGTGGTCTCCCACCTGAAAGCCTTGGCCCCTCTGGCCCTAGCTGAGAGCTGGGATAATGTCGGCCTATTGGTCGAGCCCAGCCCCCCGCATCAGGTACGGAAACTCCTGCTGACCAATGACCTGACGGAGGATGTCCTGGAGGAAGCGGTAGGCATGGGAGCCAACATGGTCCTGTCCTATCACCCTCCCATCTTCAAGGCTCTGAAGCGGCTGACGGCCGGACACTGGAAGGAGAGGCTGGTGGTGAAAGCCATAGAAAACCGCTTGGCCGTATATTCTCCACACACGGCCTGCGACGCCTTGAGCAACGGCGTTAATGACTGGTTGGGCAGGGCGTTGGGTGAGTGGTCTCTCTCTCTGTATTTGTCTGTGGATATTTGTGTTAGGGAACACCTAAAATCCTGAATCAATGAGATGAGGGAGCCATCAGCTGACCGGCGATGTCCTCCTTGTACTAGTACCTCGGGGACTTCTTAGAAACAATTACCACTTCTGATTTGCCCCAAACTGCGGGCCCGGGGAACATTGCTTAGTGGAAGGAGAGGACAGAATGATTGACAAGAGACTCCATTCCCACCTAGAGTTTCCTGGATAGGTGACAAAAGATAAGCGCCCGTCCTCTTCTCATTGGCTCCTGTAGCCTCAAGAAAATGCCAGTAGATGAGCTGTACTTGTCCTACTGGGTGTTCCTGACACAAAGGCCTGCAGCCTTCTGGCCTTGTATAGACATGGTCTCCAATGCTGAGGAAGACCCATAAGTCCACCCATTGAGGACAGCATTTGATATCGGATTTAAAAAAAATGTCTAATAGGCCCTGGGAACTTAGGTCATCAATGACTCCATGTTATAGAAGGTCCATCAATCCGTAGAGCTCATTTGCTCTGGTAAGCTAGCTCCTAGAGGTCAGAGTGCCCCTAGCCGGGCATCCAGAACAAGAGTATGGGGAATAAAACAGCAGAAAGAGCTCCAGAGAAACTTTAATAGCTCATCATGTGGTCAACCAGGACAGCCAACACTTTTCAACATTTGAGCCCTGATGAAGCCCCGATGGATGGGGGTGTTTTCACCCCTGAGGAGCCTTGGCTGTCCTGTCTGGCAATATGAGGAACTATTAAAGCTCTTTCTGCTGTTTTTATTCTCTGGATTCTTGCCCAGTGTTTGGAGTCAGGCTTCCCATTCCCATGTCTTGCACGTCGGGCTTCCCATTCCCATGTCTTGCACGTCGGGCTTCCCATTCCCATGTCTTGCACGTCAGGCTTCCCATTCCCATGTCTTGCACGTCAGGCTTCGCTCACACCTGAACGTTTTGTAGTGCGTTCTACGCTCGACGAACGCTCTACAAAACGCTCAAAAATATAAATCCCATTGTTATTCAATGGTCTCGTTCCCACCTTGGCGTATTTCCGCGCGGCCCACGCCTGAAAAGGTACATGTACTACTTTGGGCCGTTTTGTTGCGCGTTTCCATTGGTATACAGCCAAGTAGCCTTTGGAAACGCGCGTCCGTCGCGCGACTTTTTTTACCGCGAATCGCGACAGACGTGCATATGCAATACGCCTAGGTGTGAACGAGACCTCAGGCTTCCCATTCCCATGCCTTGCACGTCAGGCTTCCCATTCCCATGCCTTGCACGTCAATCTTCCCATCCCATGTCTTGCATGTGCGTCAATAAACAGACCTACTTCTACCTTTGGAGTGGTGGTGTCCATACTTTTTTGGCCATCCGTCGACTGCCGATGCACCCAACCATTCTGATTATGGATAAGCGGTCCGGAGTGCAATGTGTATATGGATTGTAGGCTTCCCATCTCACCCCGATGCTGAAGGCTTGACTTCCAACCATGCTCCATAGTGGCCATCAGGAGTAGAGATGAGGCTGAGCTTGGTGTGACAACAGTTCACCTGCGTTTCCCCAAGCCCACTCAGTACTCTAGACACCCCCTCCTCCTGACCCAGTTCGTGGGGGGCACTTACAGCACCTCTCCACAACTCATTGGGTCGGAAGAAGTGGGTGGCGGTCCGAGCTATGAGTGGGATTGGGGCAACTGGGTTACACCAAGCCCCAGCTCATCACTAGTCAGGAGAGGCTTCCTCACTCGAAGGGCAAATCACCATTGGACTGCTCACCTTTGTGTCTGAAATGCTGTACTTGGTTGAACAGATACTCCTTCCTGTTGGCATGATTGCACAAGCATTAGCTGTGTTGTGACCCTTACTTTTTTTTCCTGCAGCTGTTCATTAAAGAGAACCAGTCACATTGGTCTTACACAGGAGCTGGATTATTCATTGGTAAATCATTCTACTTGCGGATAAATTGACTGAGAGGAATGTAAGCAGCTGCAGGGTTCTTCCAAGCTGCTAGGCTCACTAGGTAGCTCAGAGATGGCACTTGAGGTCAGCACGAGGTTGGGCAATTGACGGGGCAGCAACTCTCAGACCTCAAGGGATCTCTTGGTGCTGACTCTCAGCTCCAGAGTCCTCCTCCACACAAAGTATTTAAAGATATATCAAATATTTTTCATAAGCGAGACCATACAATTATTTTAAACCTGAATGTTCAATTTGCTTTCCCATATTTACTAATGTTATCCATTAAAAACCTTCCAGATCTCTCATTAATTTCTCTGCAGGCTCCTGTGTGTCGGTGCCGATCCGGGCCTGCACCTCCCTCTCTCATCCTGGTGAATGTAACCACATCCTGGAGTTTGGCCGTGACGCCTCAGAGACCTTACTGCCCAGGCTTAGCTCCTTGCTGGATGCCCGCCTGCAAACCTACCAGATCTTGTAATGATACACTCTATGCGTGTCTTGTCTGATATGACGTACACAGCCCTTCCCAACTGAGGAACCCTTACTAAAAATTGTATATATAAGTCGCAGTGAATTTGTGTGATCAGTGGTAAAGGTGCCCCCCTTGTGGAGAAGGACCCCTGCATTGGTGGTCAGTGAGAGAAGGGGCCTCCCTAAACTGGTGGTCAGTGAGAGAAGGGGCCTCCCTACATTGGTGGTCAGTGAGAGAAGGGGCCTCCCTACATTGGTGGTCAGTGAGAGAAGGGGCCTCCCTACATTGGTGATCAGAGAGAGAAGGTACCCCATACCTTGGTGGTCAACAAGAGAGGTATCTCCTTTAGAGGTCAGTGGAAAGAACACCCCTTACTTGGGGGGGAGGTGGGTCAGTGGGAAGAATGCTCCTTACGTGGGGAAAGGGGGTTAGTGACAAGATATTTGGTGTCAGTGGTTACTTATCTGAGTGTCTAGAGAAAAAAGCTCCACCAGTCCCAAGCTGCTGTCTGTGACATCAGCCCTGTTCCTGCAATATGCAGGCAGACGGGAGGTCAATCCTCATCCACTGCTCAAGGATCCCCTAGCTAACTCAGGAGGAACTCTAGTTGGAAAAAAGACTAATCTACGGGTTTATCTCTATTTTCCAGGAACCCTACTGAAGACAGTGCCCTCATCCGGCTAAGCTGCTCCCACAATGCTTTGCGGCAGGCCTTGGCTATTCTGTCAGAGAAGCCGAGTCTACTTGACAGCGTGGAGCTCATCACTCTTAAGAAGGTGATCTTTGCAGGGGGCTGAAGCAATAACTTTGCTGTTGGTGGAGGGGTGGGGGTAAGCATGGTGGATAACAGGAAGTCACAACAGGTTGTGTTTGGTTTTAAAGTGTAAATGTGAGATAAGAGAACATCTAATGCAGAGATTTGTGGGGTCCCAGAGACTAATTTTTTAACACAAAATCTTGTCTCCACAGCCCCCCCTACTGGACACCGGTATGGGGCGCCTCTGCACTCTTTCTGAGCCAGTGTCCGTTTCTACAGCCGTAGAATGTGTCAAGCATCACCTGGGACTGGCTCACCTCCGCCTGGCACTGGGAAGGGGGAAGACTCTGGGTGAGCTACTATCTTTTCCTCAGTGACCCTTACCTTCTCCTCTACTCCTCCATGATGACCCTTATCTCCTCTCCTCCTCCATGATGACTCTTTCCTGCTCCACTTCTCTTCCATGATGACCCTTATAGTCCCCTTTTCTCCTTGGTGACCTTTAACTTTTCCTCTCCCCCTCCATGATGACTCTCTCCTTTTCTCCATGATGGCCCTTACCTCGTCCTCTCCTCCAAGATGACCCTTATCCCCTTTCCTTCTCCATGATGACCCTCACCTTCTCCTCTCCTCTTCCATGATGATCCTTATTGTCTCCTCCCCTCCTCCATGGTGACCCTTACAATCTTCTCTCCTACATGATGACCCTTGCCTGCTCCCCTTCTCTATGATGGCCCTTACCTTGTCTTCTCCTCCAAGATGACCCTTACTTTCTCTTCTCTACCTCCCATGGTGACTCATTTTATGTCTCCCTGCCCCCCTTACATCTTCTTGATTAGTATGAATGCATGTAACAGTAGACCATTCTCCTTCTCCCAGAATCCTCGGTTAGTGTGATGGCCGTTTGCGCCGGGTCGGGAAGCAGTATCCTCATGGGTGTCCCTGCTGATCTCTACCTGACAGGTAATGTGCGCTGTATGTGAAACAAATCCCCCAGCACTCAACCCTGCTAGACCGCCAGGGGGACCTGTGTTATTTTTAATAGTGTACATGGTGATACAAGAGAACAAACCAACTTGTAATCCCTTCTGAGCCGCCATTGGTTTGATTGTTCACCTTTACTGCATTCTGGGAGAGATATAAAGCCTGAAGGGTGTGAACTTCCCCTGAGTGATATTGAATAGAACAGATTTGGGTCTAATTACCTGGCCAAGGCACGCGTGTAACCCCAAAACTCCACTCTACAGAGCCTGGTGCCACTGACCGGTCCATGTCCACAGAGAGACAATCCAAGACATCAGGGGCATACCTGAAGCTTCATGGAGATGAAGGGTCACAGAGTTGCGCAGAGCACACTGGAGTCACATGAAGACACTAATGAGTCAGAGGGTGCTGTGAGGTCAGTAGGGGATGGAGGACGCTTTGGGGACACAGGAAATGCAGTGGCCTCTGGGGTCACTGCAGACACAGGAATGCTGTGGTTGATGGAGACAGAGGAGTCACAGGAGCTGCAGAAGCCCCTTGAACACTCAGGAGTTACAATCGCTGGAAGCGCAGAGAACATGAAAGTAGACACTGAAAGCACGGGGGTGAAGGTGAAGTGATGCCTAGCCCTTTAAGGAGGCACTAGAGAGCTGATTGGCTGTGGTGCTGGCACTGTGCGTGGTACCAGGAAATGCTGGCAGACGAGCCAAAGAAGACCCGAAGGTTTGGTGACCAGGTGAGTGCGACACCTGCCCTTAGTGGACATTGGCTAATTAGTGATACCTCAGCCTACACAGTAGTCTTTGATTTCCCTCGTCCCACATTCTGACAAACCTCCGAGTCCTCCTCTGCCATGTTCTCAGTGTATGCCGTTTTCTATCTCCCCCCTCAGGTGAAATGTCTCATCATGAAGTGCTGGACGCCGTGGCGGAGGGTCGCAGCGTCATCCTGTGCGAGCACAGTAATTCAGAGCGGGGGTATCTTCAGGAGCTGCGGGGGCAGATTGCAGAGAGACTGGAGGGCAGGGTGGAGGTGGTCTTGTCACAGAAGGACCGGGACCCCCTGCTGGTGGTGTGAGGAACAGCAGATGGTTCATTATTCTGACAATAAACTGCAATCCTTTACCAATGTCTCTGTGTGTGTTTATTCAGAATCTGTAATGTAAGAGACTTACATTGGGGGTCAGTGGGAAGAATGCTCCTTACATTGGGGGTCAGTGGGAAGAATGCTCCTTACATTGGGGATCAGTGGGAAGAATGCTCCTTACATTGGGGGTCAGTGAGAAGAATGCTCCTTACATTGGGGGTCAGTGAGAAGAATGCTCCTTACATTGGGGGTCAGTGAGAAGAATGCTTCTTACAGATAAATAAATTATTGGGGTCAGTGGTAGTTTACATTAGGAATTTCCATAGGAATTTATTATGCTTCTTAGCGCCATCTCGTGGCTTTCCTCCTAGATCACCCCCTATCACACTCCCTATCAACCCCCCTAGATAGCCTCCTATCACTCCCAGATTACCTCCTATCATTTCAAACTGATGCCATTTGGCAGAGGCCCATAGCCCTAAAAATGACCTCTTCGTGTCAATCATCACCCACCTAAGGCTGAATTCACCTTACTTGCTGGGTGGTGATGGTGACTTTTTGGGATCTGCACAATGCTGGTATATCAATTATTTTATTATCATTACTCGGATCAGAGTTTGTGTGAATGGGTAGGAAGTGCTCCGTGAGGAGGCGGGGACACTGAGGGCCATGTGGGAGCAGACGAGCTTCCAACTGGAGCCTCTACAAGCCAATCCCAGCTGTGTGTCTTGGGAGGAGGCGGGACTCATCTGCAGAAAAGGACCCAGGTACCAGCTGACATTTAACCCCAGTGAAGAGCTCCCTCTCCTGGCCGAGGCTCATATGTGCATAGGGACTAAACCATCCATCGATATGGACTTTTGCATTGCCTACATGTGCTGTTCTCTTCACAGCCTGCCGCAGGTAGCTTGTGCGTGAAGAGGGAAGTAATGGCAACAGAGGAAACATTGAGGCGTTGGAGTGGGAGAGATACTATGGTGGTGTATACCTTGTATCTTGAACTTTGCATGGAATTTACAACAATAAAGTTGGAATTTTATGGACCTGGGTTTCGTGCAGCTGATTGGAGAGATATTGATTGACAAGTGGGAGCACACTGCAGCCCGCACCCGGTGTCTGTATTGATCTGCAGTCTGGTGGAATTGAAGAGTGTTTGCTTTTTTGAACAGAGGAAACCTTGTTACATCTAAGTGTCCCCATCTCCTGTCTGTTATGCTGGTGACACCCACAATGTGTAAACTGAGCTGTTTGCTGCCTGTCTGGACCTTACAACTCTTGTCTACACACCACCTGCCCTGACCACAGAATGTTTACAGACTACAATCAGACCCTTTCATGTGATATTTCATTTATTTATTTTTTTGCTTGCACATCAGCTGTTGCTAAGGACAAGATGTGGGAGTATCCTGGTTCACTCGTTCTGCCTCATCTGGAGTACGCGGTCCAGTTCTGGTCACCAGTACTAAGAAAAGATGTCCTTGAGTTGGAAAAAGTCCAGCGGAGGGCAACCAAACTAATTAGGGGTATGGAGGACCAAAGCTACGAGGCAAGGTTACTAAATTTAAACATGTTCACGTTGGAAGTAAGGAGATTAAGGGGGGACATGATTTTCATGTACAAGATGATCAATGGTGACAGCAACATTGGCAACAATTTAGAAAACTGTTTACAATATTAAGGGAGGTGGAGATTGGGAGGTGTGGACTCAGGTCGCCTTAGGTGAGATCTGGGAAGTGCTATTACTGGATTAACATTGGCAACAAACTCTTTACGATTAACTCCATAACACAGACTAGAGGCCACCACCTAAAATTGGTGGAAAAGAAATTCCAGCACAAGGGCCAAAGGGGGTTCTTCACAGTTAGAGCGGTAAGGGTCTGGAACTCGCTGCCGGAGGCAGTGATCTTAGCTAAGAATGTGGAATCATTCCAGAAGCTTTTGGACAATTTCCTGAGAGACCGTAATATTCAGGGGTACGGGTACTTTTAAGAATGAGATGATACATGGACCTATACATACACACACACATCAGCAATAGGTTGGACTTGATGGACTTAGGTCTTTATTCAACCTCAAATACTATGTAACCCAGACCACCCTGTGAGGGCTGAACTGGAAGACTTGATGGCCTCGAGACTACATGGAGACCCACGCTGCTCACAGAAAGCTCATTGATCATGGACTGTTGTGTTAACAATGCAAGACTGAAAAATGCATACTAGTATATACAACCCAACGCCAAATGTGATTTTTGTGTCTTTGTGTTTTTATGTATTGAGTCTGATGGGATCCAGTGCTCTATCACACATAACATTGAGGGGCAGCCTGGTCAGAAGGTGTAGCCGTAGTGTTTTAAAAGATCAACGTCCTCCATGTTTTTAAATGCAGAGACCATTCTGGAAGCAGTGGGTCGTTGTTTCGGATGGTAGGAAAAGCAGTCTTTCACAATGAGTTGCAGCTTCTCGCTCAGCAGGGCCAATGCCTGGGGTGGTTTCTTATCATACATCTTCTTCATCATTTCGCTGTACTTAGTCCAGGGTTTTTTCTGAGTAAAAATTTCAAGGAACGTTGCCCCAACGGACCACATGTCGGACATTTTGGTTGGTGGGATGTTATCTTCCAAGACACATTCAGGGGCACTGTATAAAATTGTCCCTCCGATCGGTCCAATTTTCCTTGACTTGTCCGTTTTTGTGAGGACGGTTTCTCGAAAGTTGGCCATTCCCCAGTCCGTTAAGAAGGTTTTCTTTGTCTTCCCTTCTACCTGTGGAAAGAGGACATGTCTGTATCTCCTATGATAGTGTAGCCCCCTACTAGACATTTAATGATAGCCGGGGCTGTAGTCAGCCTGGCTGGATTTGTAGTGGCAATTATATGGTTAATCCCAGATGTCTAGCATTGCCCATACCCCCCTGGGCAGAGTGTGACTCTGTCATATTGTGGGACAGCCAATGAGAGGCACTGTAATGTATGTACAATACATCAGCCAATCACTGAGTTTCTCTCTCAGCCAGTGGTGCATGCTGGGATAGGGTACATGTACTGGAGGGATTAGCCATGTGCTCAGACTAGCCGGGACCAGCTATGGAATAGGGTTGAGTTCTGTTCAGCCTGCCCCCCTGGCTAAGCCTGAGGCCTTTTCCCTCATGCCAGCATGGGCTGGCATGAGGGAAAAGGTTTCCCTGAGGCCTCCAACATGCAGGAGGCCTGTGATGCTGAATGAGGAAGAGAACCGGGACCAGTGCAGGCTCTTAAAGTACCCTGGAACCAAGTGAACTTCAGAGGCATGATCGGTGTCTTTCCTGGTTGAGGATCTGCATCCATCCTGCCTAGCTGTTACATCAGTTGCTGTCCACTGTCTCCCAGGTGGATCTACACTGATATATCTACATGGTCTGGTGAGACTGGAGCTTCTGTTGGCTACCCCTGGACGCCTAGAACCCCTATACCCTCTCTCCTCAGTAAAGATGTTCAATAAATTGTTTACTTAGCATTTTACTACTGGAGTGGACATCAGTTTATGGGCACCAGAAGAAGGGGGTTAGTGCTAATGGGTGAGCAGCTGAAGCTCATCCCCTAGACAGACTAGAGATGAACCGGGCAACCAGCGGCTCCTTGGGGGTAGCGCTACAATAGATTTTAAAGGAACCTGTACTTGGAGATCTATGGAGGATGCCTTTGTTGACCTTCTAAAAACACAAGTAGGCTGGCTGTCTCTGGTTTTCCTACTTTGAGACTGACTCAGAAAAACCATGCTAATCAGGAAAGTTGGGGCAAAGTCTCAGCTTCTCATCCACGTACTTGTTCCAAGCCAGCAAATACTGAAACCACTGGATCTACATGACAGGCAGGGAACAATGGCAGTCTCCGTGTTTGGTAATTACAGCTTCAATTCAAATAACAAAAGACCTCAAAAACACAACAAGGACTTACTAGAATATTGATGGGTTTGATGTCTTGATGAATGATATTCTGGGAATGAATATACTCCACGGCCAACGATATCTCCAGGCCGACATATAATTTATCATCCTTTGACAGCTGTAAAAGACAACACACATTTCAGGAGACCGGAGAAGCCAATGAAGTATCGGAGTAAATGTGAAACCATTCTTATTCTGGCCCGAAACATCTGTGTTCAGACCTTTAGACAGTCCTACTCCTTACCTTTACGGGACTGGAGGTGCTGTGAAGAATTCTTTCTAGATTTGCCCCATGGATATATTCATTTGCCAGCAGAATAGATGAGTCTGCTTTGGCTGCCGCCATGAGCTTCACAATATGGGGGTGACGAAGTCTCCTATTGTAGAAAAAACAATTGTGTACTCTTTAAGTCAAATGAAACCTTTTTTTGGGATGGGTGAGGACCTCTATCAAGTTTTTAGGCCCTTCCTAGATTGGTTAGCTATTACGAGCCATTTGTTAGTAAAACTAACTGAACCCAAAAGCTCCCAACCAGTCGCTTATTTACCTTAGCATGACAGCCATTTACCACCTGCAGGCCAGAATCTTCTTCAGTATTGGTTGTACCTTCTCAGTGTCCCCTCATAAACTTGAATGAGGCTGCATTGCAGGTTTAGTCCCATTCTGGTCTATGAGTCCCATTCGGCTCAATGTGCTGGCTCAGCCAGTGCTGAAGAGGATATAGACTACATGCAGATAGAGTACACGAAGAGCACACGCTGTCACTGCACATGGAAAACACACACAGAGAGAGCGCACATAAATAGAGAACGCACAAAAAGGACATATACAAAGCAAAGGCGGAAAACATACAAACAAAGCTCACACAGAAGCAGAGCACACATAAAGCAAAGACAGAGAACACAAAAACAGTGCACGTGAAGCAAAGACAGAGAACACAAAAACAGTGCACGTGAAGCAAAGACAGAGAACACAAAAACAGTGCACGTGAAGCAAAGACAGAGAACACAAAAACAGTGCACGTGAAGCAAAGACAGAGAACACAAAAACAGTGCACGTGAAGCAAAGACAGAGAACACAAAAACAGTGCACGTG